CAACCTTGCTCATAGTACTATTATATTAATACTGATATTAATATTGATACTGATATTGACAATAATACTGATACTCATAGCAATATTAATATTAATATTGATACTAATACTAATATTATAATACTAATATGTTAATATTATTAATGTTAATGCTAATGTACATATTCTAATGCTAATACTAATTTTAATGTTAATGTTAATCTGAATATGCTTATGCTGATTATAATTGCAATAGTAATATTATCCAAATCCTTATCCTATTCCTAACCTTATTCAGAACACTAATCATGATTCTAATCCTAATCATAATTCTAACCCTAAACCTATTTCTAACATTAATTATAATCCTAATAATTTTTCTACTAATCATATTAATGCTATGCTAATGTTAATTTTAATTATAATTATATTCAATCTCGCAAGTTTTATATCAAATTTCTTATGTGTGGTACCTGAAACATTAAGAAACACATATCAAACATACATTAAATTATTTAAAATAATTAAGGGTATAAGAAAACATTAAGACGTAAAAATAACGATAATCGTTGTTAATAGGATAAATTAAGAAAGTCCTCATGAACTTAGGCTAAATTACGGAAATCACCTTCACTTATTGGTAATTACCAAAATCCCCCTGATGTTTGTTTATGTCTTACACGATCCCCTTATGGTATGATTTTTTACGGAATCTTTTTTATTCCATGTAATATCACAAAAATTGTGGACTCTACCCTTGCAGCATGACATTTCTTTTATCTTAGTTTTTAAATACAAAAATTACCCTTATGGGAGGTAATAGTAATACTAAAAAGTTGTGAATATGTTATTTAAGAAGAATAAATATTTCGTGCAAAGTCCTTCTCGGGGCATTTTTTGTCTTTAAAAAGTACCATAAACAATGCATGGTAGAATCTGCATTTTTCGGGGAATATTCCACGTAATAAAAAAATTTCCGTGAAAAATCATACCGTAAGGGGGTCGATGTAAGACGAAAACAAACATCAGGAAAATTTTGGTAATTATGAATATAATATTAAATTAGTAAAAAATATAAACATATTCTTTGGTCATGTTCATGTAAAATATATAATATCAAATGATTTATTCTGCAATATTTTTTTATATAAATCCAAGTTTATGAATTATTATACAAAATTTTAGTAACACCATCAATCATACAATTATAATAGTGAAGATTCTAAATTGAATTTATATAAATTTAAATTAAATTAATTACTATTAAAATTAAATTAAAAAAATAAAACTATTTAGAGTTTCCAAAAAAGTTGATATATTTAGAGCATTTTATAAAGAGGTCTTTACAAATAAGCCCATCAATGGGTACTTTATTTATAAAGAGATCAAGACAAAAAACTCATTTACCAATAAGTCCACACATGGTCCAGATTTTTGTAAAGGACTAAAATAACCCCTCATACTTTAATATGCTTCAATTATATCCTTAACTTTATTTAACCTCAATTTGACCCCAAATTTCACAAATTACTCAATTTTGACCCAAAACTTTTTTATTCAAAAATTTAATTTTTTTCAAAAACTTTTTTTTTTCCCGCCGGATTCCGGCGTTGACTTTTCAAACTTTTTTTTCCTTCCGGATTTTTTCGCCGGTTTCCAGCGTTGATCGGCGTTGACTTTTTCGACTTTTTTTTTTGTTCTTTTCTTTCTTTTTTTAACCTTTTTTTCGTTTAAACAGCAATATTGTTGTGATTGACAGTAATATTAACTAAATTACTGTTAAACACAGTAAAATTAAGGGATAATTAGTGAAAACCCCCCAATTCATTTACTTATATTAAGGTGGATATAACCTCCTTTTCATTATTAGTGAAAACCCCCCACTTTATATTAAATAATTTGTTTTTTAATTAATATTGTTTTTGACATTACTAATATACCTAATTTGCCCTATTATATCTAAAATAACAAAACCTATTTCACGCTCTCTCTATTTTCTTATTCTTCTCTCTCTTTTCTCTCTACATATCGGCGCCTCCAACTCTCTTCCATCTGTGTTCTGCCACCGCCTCCAACCCTCTTCCATCTTTGCGCCGCCATCGTTACTCTCTTCTTACAACGGCGTTCCTCCCTCCACCAACGCGAAAAGAAGACGATCTTCACCCCTGGGATTCTCTCGTCAAGGACGGCGTTAGGGTTTTCGCTAGGGAGAAAGACGAGATTATGCAGCGGCGCTAGGGTTGATATTGCGTCTGAGATTTCAATACAGACCACCGCCACATTGTTTCATTGTTGTTGTTCTTCTTCTTCGTCTCTGATTTTTTTTTTGGAACCCAATTCTCGAATCTTAATTTTCTTAATTGGAGTTTTTGGTTGAATTCTTATATAGAAGGCTAATTTTGTGTTCAATCAATAGTATAATGGATGTTTGTTTTTGTTGAAATTGTGTGGTGTTATTTACAGATTTATAGATATTTTCGTACATCAATATAGTTGTTTTCGTACAGCAATATAGTTGTTTTCGTACAGCAATATAGTTGTTTTCGTACAGCAATATAGTTGTTTTCGTGTAGCAATATAGTTGTTTTCGTACAGCAATATAGTTGTTTTTATTACCTTTTAGTTGAATGTAATAGTTGATTTAACAAATAGTTGATTTTGATAAATGAGAGTTGCTGGAGATATATAGTTGTTTTAATCATATTGTTTTAATAACAGTTGTTTTAATAATAGTTGTTTTATTGAAATATAGTTGTTTTAACTGAAGACAAAAAAATATAGTAAGAAAATATAATAAAAAAGTTAAATTTTTTTTTTTTTAAATATATTTTTTTAAAATAAGAAATAAATAAAAAAAACGAAAATTAAAATTAAAAGACAAAAAAATAAAAAAATAAAAGTGTATCAAAGTAGTGTATAATAGGTAGTAAATAAAGGAAGGGTAAATTTGAGAATAAAAAAAGGATGGGTCTCTCACTAATAAAGAAAAAAGAGCTAGATCTATCCTCATTAAAATAAAGCTAGAGGGGGTTCTCACTAATAGTCCCTAAAATTAAACTAAACTATTGTTTAACACACTAATATTGATATATTAATCTCTAGCACAATAATATTAACACAACAAAACTCATTATTATTGTGTAATAGAGTAATATTACTATGTTGACCGTTCAACAAATGTAAACATAATAAAAAATCAAAAGAAATAATATTACTGTGAGTGACAGTAATATTACTATAACAACATAATATTACCGTCAACCACAGTAATATTACAATAATAAACAGTAATATTATTACGTTACTCCATGAATAACACAAACAAAAAAAAAATCCATACAAAATAATAATATTGATGTGGTTGACAGCAATATTACAATAACAACAGTAATATTACCGTCAACCACAGTAATATTATTGTGTTTACAGTAATATTACAATAATAGACAGTAATATTATTACGTTACTCCGTGAATAACTTAAACAAGACAAAAAACCCAAAAAAATAATAATATTGATGTTGTTGACAGTAATATTATTGTGTTTACAGTTATTTTACTGTCAACGACAGTAATATAATTACGTTGACTTGTCAACAAATCAAACAAAAAAAAACAAAAAAACAAAAAATTAAATAATAATATTACATTAATTTACTGTCAACGGCAGCACAATTACATAAATGTATTGTCAACGGCAGTATAATTACGTTAATTTACTGTCATTGACAATATAATTACGTTAATTTACTGTCCGTGACAGCACAATTACGGTCAACGTTTAGCGGCGGACGTAAAAAAAAAAAACAAACAAAAAAAAAAACTCAAAAAAACACTAAAAAAAATCAACGCCGGAGACCGCCGGAAACCGGCGAAAAAATCCGGAAGAAAAGAAAAGAAAAAAGCAAAAAAGAAAAAAAAAAAGTCAACGGCGGAATCCGGCGGCAAAAAAAAAATTTGAAAAAAATAATGTTTGTGAAAAAAAAAAAGTTTTGGGTCAAAATTGAATAATTTGTGAAATTTGGGGTCAAATTGAGATTAAATTAAGTTAATTGATGAAATTGGAGCATATTAAAGTATGCTCCAAAAAAAAGTCAAAATTGATTTTTTGTGGTCAAAATTGGATTTTTGTGGACAAAATTGATTAAATTGGGTTACAATTAAGAATTGGGTATAAATGGTTGAGGGTAATATTGGGATATACATGAGTGTTTCCTTTATTTATAATAAATATTAAAGGGATGAGCTTATTGGTGAAAGAGATATAGCCCCTAAAGCTGGAATAATAAACATGCTTGGTTGGGGACTTTATCACAAAAACCCCTTTTATAAATGGTATGATATAAATATATGATTAAATAATTATCTTTTTAATTTTGGAAAATGATGACATGTTTTTTGATGATTTATTTTCACCAATCAATTTGCCACATGTGATTAAATTGAATACATGTCACCGATTGAAATTGACAATTAATTATGCGTGGAATTCAAGTTTTATATATTATATTGACTGAGGTAGGGGTTATATGAAATAACCCAAAAATATTAGGGACAATTGGGTTTTTCGTCCTCTAAGTTGGCTGCTATAGGAATTTAGTCCTATAAGTTGCACAATTTCAATTGTAAGTGCAATAACTTTATCAAATTTGTACATTCAGTCCGATTTTTCAATTTGACTCTCAATTGCTGACATGGCATAAAATAATTTGCTTACTTGTCCACTAATTTGGGGATATTAGCTTTTTGGGAGAAAAATTAAACATGTGGCAAATAATAATTAAAAATATATAACATCAAAGCCACGCAATCTAAAATAGTGGGGGGAATTTTCATCTGTTCCCTCCAATCTAAATTAAATATTTATCCAAATTGAAATAATTCTTGAAACCCTAAAATCCTAATCTCCATTTCACGAGTTCTTCGATTCCCTCAAATCATCCACCTTAATGACACACGCATTTTTAAACTCTTTAGATACCAAGTTGAGTACTTGAGCTTTTTACAACTTTTGAGAAAGAAATGAAGATTCAAGGTTTGCTACAGGACTTCGACTTTGCCCAAACAAAGTCTGGTATGTTATGTCAAATTTTTGTTTTTTTGTTTTTTATTCAAATCATCAGGGTGTAGGCTTGTAGGGTTCTTTATTTTTTAATTTAAATAGATATTTTTAATTGAATGGTTTTGTCTTCTCCTGGAAAACTTTGTTAGCAGTATATTCTGTTTGTATAAAAAAAAATCATTTTCTTATCACATTTTGTATTTTATTGTGAAGATGACGAAGAAGAAGAGACTAGTGAGGACTTCTCTGAAAGTGATGACTATGAGAGTTGTGACTATGAGATAGAGTCAAATTCAGATGATGATACAAGTTATTATAAAAATATAGATGATAATGTAGAATGGTCAGGAAAAAGAAATTGACGGGCCACTTGCAGTTGAAGATGTTTGTGAATTTGGGGAGGAGGATATTATGAAGAGTGATGATGATTTGGATAGTAACAAGGGTTCTGACAATGAGAAAGAAAGGCCTAACTTTCCTGTTTTTAATCCAATCGAGATATATAGACCAACCTTTGAGTTGGGCATGATTTTCAGTACCAGAACAGAGTTAAGGCAAGCTATACACTCTCATGCTATTATCACGAGAAGGAGCATAAATATTACAAAAAATGACAAGAGTAGATTACATGCCAAGTGTGTTGAGAAGGGGTGTGGATGGAAGCTTCATGCACTTAAGGTTACAAATGAGTGCACCTATCAGGTGAGAACTTATGGTCCTGATCACAGTTGTGGGATGAGTTTTCATGTAAAAAATTTGAAATCTAAATGGTTATCTAGTAAATACTTGGATAAGTTTAAATGTGATCCTAAGAGAAATCTGAAAGGCTTTAGAATTGAAGCAATGAAGGATGTTAAATGCCATATATCAAGTTATCAGGCTTATAATGCTAAAAGGAAAGCTATCGAAATGATTGAGGGAGTTCTAGATGAACAATATTCTTTGCTATGGGATTTTGTTGATGAAGTTAAAAGAACCAATCCGGGTAGCACTGTGATAGTTGGGACTGATCAATTAGCAGGTGAAAATAGGTTTGATAGGATATATGTGTTTGCATGCTTTGAGAATGGGGTTCTTAGCTGGCTGTAGACCTTTAATTGGGGTAGATGGTTGCCATTTAAAAGACAAACACGGGGGAGTGTTGTTAACTGCTGTAGGTGTTGATCCCAATAATAACATCTATCCCATTGCCTAAGCTTTAGTTGAAAAGGAGACGAGGGAAACTTGGGATTGGTTTTTAACCCTGTTAAAAATTGATTTACATATTGAAAAGGACTACGAATGGACCTTTATATCCGATAAACAAAAGGGATTAATTCAAGCATTTGAAGTGGTATTTCATAATTCTGATCATAGGTTTTGTGTTAGGCATATGCATTCAAATTTCGAAAATGCTGGTTTCAGAGGACAAGCCTTCAAGAGTATTTTGTGGAAGGCAGCACGAGCCACAACATTGAATGAGTTTAGCAGAAATATGGAAGAAATGAACGAGTTAGATGAAAATGCATTTCAGTGGCTGAATGATAATCCGCCTCAAAATTGGAGTAGGTCACACTTCAATACCTATCCTAGGTGTGACATGTTATTGAACAATGGCTGCGAGTCTTTCAACAGTAGTATTTTAGAGGCAAGGGAAAAGCCTATCGTGTCTATGCTTGAATGGATTATGGAATATTTAATGACAAAACTGCAAAAAAATAGGGATAGAGCAGAATAAAAGTGGAGCGGCGATCTATGTCCTAAAATAATAAAGAGAATTCACAATAACATTGAAAAACTAGGAGATTGTATTCCCATCAAAGCAGATGATTATCATTATCAAATATCTTGTTTTGACGGGAATCAATACAATGTTGACTTGAATGAATGGACATGTGGTTGTAGAAAGTGGGATTTGAGTGGCATCCCATGTAAACATGCAATCAGTGCGATCGTTAGTCAAGGCTAGAAAATCGAGAACTTCACACATAGTTGTTACAAAGTGGAGACTTATAAAGTTGTTTATGCTCCTGCCATTATGCCAATGAGTGGCAGAAATGAATGGAGAAAATTAGACTTTATTCCTCCACTACCTCCAAAATTTGTTAATCCTGGTGGCAGGCCTTGTGGAAGGCCAATAAGAGCAAGGAGGCGGGAATTGGATGAGCCTGAAAAGAAGAAGAGAAAAATATCAAGGGGCAAGCCAAAGGTGATTAAAAATGCATATCAGCTGAAACGGCAACAAAAAACTTTAAAATGCAGTCAATGTGGTGTTGAGGGACACAATAAAAGAGCTTGCAAAATGAGGGATGATAATTCGAAAGCAACACAAACTGAGGTGGCGAGCAGTGAGGTTGGTAATCAAACTCCAAAGTTTCAGGTATATTTTTTTATTCCTTCCAATTTTGTTATGATTAAGTTCATATATATTATGTTAATGTTATAATTTAATTTAAACATCAATTAGGCTGGAGAAAGAATATTTCAAGATAAACAATATCAAGATGGAAGTTCTACCGAAAGACTCATAAGCGCAAGTTTTCTCAACAAGTTCATCTCATTTACTTACATTGATTAATTTTATTTATATTTGAATTAAACTTAATATTTTTATTTATGTAGCAAGTGAGATTGAAACAGGGAAATGTTCCATACGTGCCACCAACTCAGATGAACCATGCAGCCTTTACAACTTCAGATTCTAGAGTATATCCTCAAAATATGTTTGAACAGCTACAACAAAGTCAAATGCAAACACCAAGAATAAATATCAAGGCCTCTGCTCAATTTGTTGGTGGACAATTCATTCCCAGCATGGAAAATTGTATCACCAAAGTATGTTCAAAGTCAGTAGTCACTAAAGGTGGGAAAGAAATTGTACATTTGTCGAATCTTAATGATGGCCTCTCTCAAGAAAAATCTACAGCTGCAAATAAAAAGAAGGAAGGAAAGAAGCCTACGCAATGAAGTGAATTTAATTGTTTTTGTTGGAACTTTGATATCTAAATAGATGGATTTAATATTTTGTTATTATTTAAATTAGACATCGTTTATGATGAGATGTTTTTGATGCGTATGAAAAGTTATAATTATTCAGCTTCGTTTATTTCTAAAATTTTATGTATAATTTAATTTCATAATCTCTTTAGTTTTGATTAATTTATTGGTCTTCTTAACGTTAACATTATTTTTTTGGTGTTCTTAACATTAACAATAATTTATTTCGTTCATTGTTAGTTTCATTAACAATGTAAAATAAAAAAATTGATTCACTAATTTTCTAACTTTTCTGGTGAATTTAAGTTTTTTAATTATTATTTGTTTTGAATTGTAAAAGGAAAAAAATGTATGGCAAATATGTATGAGGAATCGAGTGAACAGATGAAAGTTCCCCCACCATTATGTGGCTTTTTGTTATATTTTAATTAATATTTTACACATCATATTTGCCACATGTTTTTTTTTTCTCCAAGAAACTGATATGTAAGCAAATTCTTTTATGCCATGTCAGCAATTGAGAGTCAAATTGAAAAATCGGACTGAATGTACAAATTTGATAAAGATATTGCACTTACAATTGAAATTGTGCAACTTATAGGACTAAATTCCTATAGCAACCAACCTAGAGGACGAAAAACCCAATTTTCCCAAAATATTAAGTGAAATTAACTATACTGTAGTCTAATAAATTAATAACTATATAGATCTTTTCAATTTCCAAAAAAGAATAAATTATTTTGTAATTAGAAAGTAAATAGCAACCAATCCCTCACCGGAATTCTCCACCAATCACAACCAGAGGGCAGCTTCCCATTTTCCACCGCCGTAGGAAAGACACACACTCACACAGTACGCCCAACCCCGTGAGCTGATGGCAGCGGCGGCGGCGGCGAGTAGCTTATTCAGCATATCGTCCTCTTCTCTCTCCTTTCGCCGAACTCCATTTCTATATTCACTCCCCACTCATCACTCTTTTCCTTCTCTTCCCAAAATCAAGGTGAGATTCCTAATCTCCTTCTCTCCACTTCTCCGTCTGTCTTTTTTTTTTTTTTTTTTTTTCCTGTTGAATTCAATCCGATTTTTTATATGTCTGTATCTAATTGCGATGATAGAGAGGAGGTCGGGAACATAGGCATATTTTTGTTCAAGTGAATTCCGTGCCGGAGGAGGACCGCAGTAAACTGACTGCCGAATCCGATTCCGAAACTTCGCCGGAATCTTCTTCCTCTCCTTCTGCTGCTGCTATTACCGGCGGTGATGGTGGCAATGGTACGCGGTTTGCAGCGTATAAGTGGTGGTGTGTGGGTCTTGGAGGAATCGGATTGTTGGAGACGGCGTATTTGACATACCTTAAGCTCACCAATTCGGATGCCTTTTGCCCCATGGGAGGCGGCTCTTGCACCACCATCCTCACCAGTGCCTACTCATCCGTTTTCGGTACTTCCTTTCTTGTTTTGTTGACCTTATTTTTAGCCTAAATGAGAAAATGCTGAGTTGTTAAAAGTGATTCTTGTATTTAGAATTAGCTTTTTTTGGTTTAGAAGTGTGTTTTGATTTGGAAATTCTGTTATTCTTTGGATAGGGATATCTATCATCAACAGTTGCATATGTATTGTTTTCGCTTCATTATTGAGAGATAGGGGAATCGAAACAAATGATATTCCTTATACCTACTCCTGTCTGTTAGATAATCCTACGATTTTTCCGATGAATGAGGAAATATACAAAATTGTTTTCTAGCTGCTGAGTGAAAATGAAGGGTTTTCACCAATCGCTCATCCGAATTTGAGATGGTTCAAACTATCAGGAATCTGTTGTGATAGCCTGAGGTGATTGATGAGTAAACGATCTTTCTTTTGAACAAAGAGATTGTTATTGTTGCAAGTTTGATCCATCTTAAGAATGATTGGATTAATTTTGTATGTTCCATTAAAATGGCAGGAGGAGATTAAAAAAGGGAAACATGAACGATATATTTGTATTTCTTACATCAGAAGGTTTTTAATTCTGATCGAAAACATCTTTTGGTAATTAAAGGTTAAATTGTAATATGGTTTAAAATTGCTTCAGATTCGGTGGATAACAGTTTTTTGATCACGTACAGTCTTCAGTTACCTTATTGAATTTGATTTTCCACAAGGAATTATAGTTAGATGAGGAAGCTAAATTTTTTGACTTCCGGTTTAGGCATTTTTATTAAAAGGAAAGTAACATTTTCCGTTCTCAGGCATTCCTCTTCCATTGTTTGGCATGCTCGCATACGGGTTAGTCGCGACCCTTGGTCTGCAATCGGAAGCAAAGAGAAGTTCATCGGGAACTGGGAAAACTGATGGTGAAATTATATTAGTTGGAATAACTACCTCTATGGCAGTTGCTAGCGCGTATTTCTTGTACATTCTGAGAACCGAATTTGGTGGAGAATTGTGTTTATATTGTTTGGCATCGGTGGCATTGTCCTTCAGCTTGTTCTTCATCACTCTAAAGGTTTAGCCCTGTCAAGATGATTACACTTTTCTTTTCTTAGACCATTTGGTGCTGCTTAGTTCATATAGCATTGACAAGAATTGTATGGGCTCAATTTGCAGAGATTTGGGGCAAATGAACTTCGGGAATTCTTGGGATTGCAGCTATTCGTAGCTAGCTTTGTCGTTATTGCACTGACGACATCTTATAATGATGCCCGATCAGTCTCCTCAGGGTAAGAAACTGCTTTAGTGATACGAATACTGTTAGCTATATCGTCAGAAAATATATTGATGTGTCCTATAACTATTGATTGATTTTGACATGTCCATGAACGTTTCGGGTTAATGGTGTTTTATATTTGCAAATCAGGTTTTGTCATAAAACAGAAATTTTATTTGAATCTCATGTAATCCATGCAAAAGATTGAATTGAGGGTATTATAAACGATAGTCAAGAGCAACTTTTAAGATCTAATTTCATCTAAACTTGAACTAAAATGTGGGCTGTATATTTTTTCCTGTTCTAGAGTTTTTCTTTGTCACGTATTATGTAATTAATAAAATATGTCAAACGAATATGGTTATTGGGGTTGGGTTGATTTTAACTTTTCTTGATTATGATTTTAGAAGTTGGGCCGAGTTTAACTTTTTTCTTGATTTAGTGGATGACTTTATCGAAACATTCACGTACACTTGGTCTTTGATTGGTGCTTTCATGAAGTGATATGTCCGTTTACAATGTTGGTTTTCCTGAGGGAATAGTATCGAGCTAATGGAAATTCAGGGGAGGCCTAGCAAGTAGAACTTTTTACCCCGTTTCTGATTTAAAAAAAATAAATATAGCAAACTATGGTTTGTATTATAGTTAACTGTGAAAACTTTAGTACAGTGCTGAATGAACTAGTATATTCATCAAGTACTTAAACCTCACCCTCAAGCGTGCTCTCGCAGCTCAATTGGTGGTGCTTTTATTTGATTTACTTACCCCATTTGATTTGTTAAGATTCCCTTTTCTGAAATTTTAATGATAAGACTTGTAGGAGTAACTTAAGGGATCTTTTATTATCTTATGACCTTCTGTAATAAAATTATTTACCATACATATACGTGCAACAGCATGACTGAGACTGAAATACCATATTTTGAAACGGAGATCACAAAGGAGTCGAATCCTTTGGCCGTTTCTCTTGCGAAACATCTACATTCAATCGGAGCAAAATTATATGGGGCTTTTTGGTGTTCACATTGTCTGGATCAGAAAGAGGTATTTTTCATTCTGCTTGACTTCCGACCAATTCTTATTGCTGCCAACTAGGAGAAATACATCATTTTCTTTTTAAAAGTCGGGTGTGAAAACCCGCTATGCTTCGTTTGTGGATTTGATGAATTCTCAGTTTCTAAAAAGTTACTGGAACACCAACATGATGGAAATTTATAGTTTTGGTTTTATTTATTTTAAAAATAATCAATCTTGACAGATTTTTGGGAGGGAAGCAGCGAAAATGTTGGATTATGTGGAGTGCTTCCCTGACGGAGTAAGCAAAGATATTAAAATGGCTCAAATCTGTTCAGATGCTAAACTTGAAGGTTTTCCGACATGGGAAATAAACGGCCAGGTGTGTTATTTAGCTAATTAATTGAAATCTTGAATTGATATCCGATTTAACTTTCTTGCAAACTAGCCTGACTTTCTATGTGGCTTTTGTTTTCCTCCAACTAACATGTTTTTGCTTAATAAATTGCTCTTTTTTTGAATTGCAGGTTTTGAGTGGAGAGAAGCAGTTATCAGAGCTTGCTACATTATCGGGTTTCAAACTTGACGAGTCAAGTCCATCAAACTAACTAAGATGTCATTTTCACCATCTTTTTCTTGCGGTTTTGTTTGCAAGACGAGATTTTCTCGTTTCAATATTCCTTAGCATCTAGCATAGTACCTAATATCTCAATAGCTAGCCATATATAAAGTACACGTCTAGCGTTACTATTACCTTCTGTAAATGTTTCTATGGAAACAGATCTCCTGTACTGCCTGATATCTTCCGGTTCTTGCGTAGAGTTAAGAAACGGAACTAAGTTGTTTCAGGTAATTTTATGGATGGTTGTTAAATGAATCATCTTGATAGTATTTGTAAAGTGACAACATCAATCATGTGCCAAATATATATAACTTACAGGTGAAATAGCATCTTGGTTGTTAATTTTTCTTTTTAATTCCAATATTTCTTATAATTTGGGTTATATGTCTTCATATTGCAATAGTTAAATGCCTAAATCCAGTTAGCACTGTTTGAATGGCCCTAGCCTAGGCATGACAAGGTATTGGATTCCTTAAGACCCTGTTTGGCTGAGCTTATAAGTTCCTAAAAACATCTTATAAGATGTTTAAGAGCTTATAAATTGTTAAAAGATGTTTGGTAAAAAAAATACAAAAGATCTTGTTTTTTTAAAAACTAAGCTGTTACTAAGCTTGTAAGATATTTTTAAGAAAGTACCTCCACCCCACATTTTCTTCTTTAAAACACTCAAAATCAATTTGTGTCTCTTGGGATTAAACATTATACCAAATGAGTCAATTAAAATTAAGGGTAAATTACAAACACCCCCTGACATATGGTCAATTTACAAAAAAATCTCTCTTGTTTGGATAATTATATCTACCCCCTCAACTATGATTTTTTCTTATACATCCACCCTTATTGTGTCAATTTCAACATAATAATCTAGATTTCCTGGAATGTGCTCTAGTTTGTACTCGTTTTGTGTGAAAATACAGTTTTTGATGCACCACAATCTGATATATACAAGCCAAAAAACACATATTATGATCATCTTGCTTCAAAATGTAGAGTTCGAATGCAATAAAATGGGTAAAAAAGTGATAATATTCCATATAATCTCGAAGATTCCACTAAATTTGAGGAGTTGAGGGGTGGTTGTAATTAACCAAGCAAGAGGAGTGTTTTCGTAATTTGACCATACTTCAGGGGGTTTGTTGTAATTTACCCTAAAATTAAAGAAGGGGCTATTAGTGAAACTCCCTTTTCCTTTATAAGTAATATGTCCAACTTTTTTTTATTCCCAAATTTATCATTTCTTACTATTCACACTCCACTACTTTAACGCCTAATTCATTTTTTTTCTTTCAATTATAATATTCATCTATTTATTTAAAAAATAAGTATTTAAAAAAAATATTTGTTTCCAATTTTTTTTTCTTTTTTTTTTCCAGATTTTGGTTTTCAAATCGACTATAAAATTTCCAAAAACTCTCTACCGATCTTGTTGAATTGTCTTCTTTCATTTTCTCTCTATAATTATTATTTACGTTTATTTATTACAATTCTCTACAATCACCAAACCAAAAAGTTAGAGTTAAATAGACCATTTTACAACACTATAGATTTTTTTTTTCTTAGTTTTTAACTTGTAAATTGTACTTTGAAATAATAGTCAAGTTAATATGTATTTATGAGTAAGTTAATCAATTTGTATTTGGTTGGTTTGTTAATTTAGTTATCTCTAATCCTCTATTGTATAAATTATAGGGTACTGTACATATAAAATTTATCCACTTGAGGAGATTGAGTCCACATTTTATTATTAATTTCAAAATAACCCCACTTACCATAATCACCATATTATTGTAAAAGACTAAAATAGCCCCTCACATTTTAATATGCTCCAATTTAATCATTTAATTCAATATAACCTTAATTTGACCGCAATTTTCATAAATTATTTAATTTTGACCAAAAACACAATTTTATGGACAATTTCGTTCATCACCACCATTGAACTTTTTTTTTTTTTTATTATTATATTTCCTTCCTGATTTTTCTGTTGGTGCGTTGAGCGGCGGCCAACGGCGGTCTCCAGCGTTGATTTTTTCGGTTTTTTAATATTTGTTTTTTTAAATTTCATTTTTTTTCTTTTTTTTTTCTTTAACATCTTTTTGCTTGTATAAATTATAGGGCACTGTACATATAAGCCCATTACTGTGTACTTATTTACAAAGGGGTCCAGACAATAAACTCTTTTACAAAACAATCCACACATGGTCCAGATGTTTGTAAAAGACTAAAATAGCCCCTCACATTTTAATATGCTCCAATTTCATCATTTAATTTAATATAACCTTAATTTGACTGCAATTTTCATAAATTATTTAATTTTGACAAAAACACAATTTTATGGACTTTTTTTTTTTTTTTTTAATATTTCCTTCCTGATTTTTCTGTTGGTGCGTTGAGCGGCGGCCAACGGCGGTCTCCAGTGTTGATTTTTTCGGTTTTTTAATATTTGCTTTTTTAAATTTTCTTTTTATTTTTTATTTTTTTTCTTTAACATCTTTTTATAGTCAAATCGACTATAAAATTTCCAAAAACTCTCTACCGATCTTGATGAATTGTCTTCTTTCATTTTCTCTCTATTATTATTATTTACTTTTATTTATTACAATTCTCTACAATCACCAAACCAAAAAATTAGAGTTAAATAGGCCATTTTACAACACTATAGTTTTTTTTTTTTTTTAGTTTTTAACTTTTAAATTGTACTTTGAAATAATAATCAAGTTAATATATATTTATGAGTAAATTAATCAATTTGTATTTGGTTGGTTTGTTAATTTAGTTATCTCTAATCCTCTATTGTATAAATTATAGGGCACTGTACATATAAGTCCATCAATGTGTACATATTTACAAAGGGGTCCAGACAATAAATTCTTTTACAAAATAATCCACACATGGTCCAGAGGTTTGTAAAAGACTAAAACAGCCCCTCACATTTTAATATGCTCCAATTTCATCATTTAATTTGATATAACCTTAATTTGACCGCAATTTTCATAAATTATTTAATTTTGACCAAAAACACAATTTTATGGACAATTTCGTCCATCACCACCATTGAACTTTTTTTTTTTTTTTTTATTATTATATTTCCTTCTTGATTTTTCTGTTGGTGCGTTGAGCGGCGGCCAACGGCGGTCTCCAGCGTTGATTTTTTCGGTTTTTTAATATTTGTTTTTTTAATTTTTTTTTTTTTTTTTCTTTAACATCTTTTTGCTTGTATAAATTATAGGGCACTGTACATATAAGCCAATTAATGTGTACTTATTTATAAAGGGGTCCAGACAATAAACTCTTTTACAAAACAATCCACATATGGTCCAGAGGTTTGTAAAAGACTAAAATAGCCCCTCACATTTCAATATGCTCCAATTTGATCATTTAATTTAATATAGGGGCAATTTGCTATAGGTCCTCCTATAAGAGATTATATGTGTTAAAATCCATCTGATAAACTCTAATTTGCAGCAAATTTTTGTATTTATAATGTGTCAAAAGTACCCCTATCAATATCCTAAGTAATATACGGTAAAATATATCTTCAAAATCAAATCCCCCATTTCTCTCCCTATATACTGCAAATCCGAAATTTATAATTGCAAACATCTGGAATTCGATTTCTCCCCTATTTCTTCAAATCGAAAATCTCACCACGAATTTTGAATCCTTCCATAGGTTTTGGGCAATTTTTCGTTTGCAGTTTTACCAGGTCGGTTGCATTTTGTCTTCGTTTTCGATTTGCTGTTCAATATTTGCATTTGTTTCGTTTGTTGTTTACAAATTTGTTTCGATTTGTTTTCGATTGCTGTTTACAGGGTTTGTTGTTTCGAAAATTCCAATTGCAAAAATATTGAAATCGATTTCATCCCTGTTGCTTCAAAGCGAAAATCTCACCACGAATATTGAATCCTTCCATAGGTTTTCGGGTGTTTCATTGTTTGCAGTTTTACTTGGTCGTTTGCATTTTGTCTTTGTTCGATTTGTTGTTCAGTATTTGCAGTTGTTTCGTTTGTTGTTTACAAATTTGTTTCGATTTGTTTTCGATTGCTGTTTACAGGGTTTGTTGTTCCGAAAATTAAAATTGCAAAAATATGGAAATCGATTTCCTCCCTGTTTCTTCAAAGCGAAAATCTCACCACGAATTTTGAATCCTTCCATAGGTTTTGGTTGTTTGATTGGTTGCAGTTTTACTTGGTCGTTTGCATTTTGTCTTTGTTCGATTTGCTGTTCAATATTTGCATTTGTCCGATTTGCTGTTCAATATTTGCATTTGTTTGATTTGCTGAACCAGTTTGCCCCCCTTTATGTTCGTGATTTTCCAATTGTTTGTTGTTTGAAGACATCGGCTGGTGTTTATGTTTGGGATTTATACAATGGACAAAAAACGATTAAATCTTGGTAAGCAATGATTCTATAAACTATTTGTATGATTAATGTGTGCATTTTGAATTTTTTTGTTCTGCATTTGCATGTTGTTTATTTTATTTTCAATTTTGCTGTTTTTATTTTATTTTGCATTTTGCTGGTTTGCAATTTATTTCGAATAATTCGATACTAATTTGAGAACCTTTTTTTTTCCATGAGGATGATGACTTCGAATCCCCAAAATCAAACAATTGAGGGGTTCGGTAATGTTATAACTTTGGTTATGTTTATTCTTAAACAAAATGTAGCTGCATTTTAAGTTACAATTATTAAGGTTTGTTTGATGTTAGTCTGAGTTTTTATGCGTTTTTTTAAACTCGGTTTGCATTTTGCTCTTTAAAGTTTGTCACTTTGATTCTGTATTTTGCTATTTTTGAGGCTGATTTTGGTACTTATGTAATCTGAATTTTGATTTTTTTGGTTAATTTTGAGTAGTGTTGTTAGTTGTTTGCAAATGATGTTTGCTATTTTCAAGTACCATTTTTATTCGACTAATTCATGTATCGTTTACTTACATATGATGTTTTTATTTGTAGTTTGCATTTTGCAAGTCTTGTATAAACTTGCAAAAGTTTGATTTTTTGCAATAACATTGTTTGGATAATTCCATAGCTCTGATTTTTCCCTTTTTCTTTTCCAACAGTCAAGCCAAATAAAAGGAAACAAATCACTAAATCATCGAAAAGGAAAAGAAAAATCAACTCAGACTGTAGTCGAGACCCAAGAACAACCAACCGTTACAGAAAGAACAACCGATTCCACAATATTGTTCAAACCTCATTTTGTAATCCGGTGTATTACAGTTTGCAGTTTCAGTTTACGTTTGTTGATAAAAGGGTTTCATCTTTTACATCACCTTGCAAATTCCAAGTTTAAAATTGCAAAAGAAAATGATTGTTTTGCTATTGCATTATGCAGTATTATT